CCCCAAAACCCCAAAACCCCAAAACCCCAAAACCCCAATAATCGGTGAAGATATTGATAATAACAATATAATTTCCTAATTAATAAAGATTATTTAAAATGGATAACAAAGCTGCGCAGCCAAGCGAATCTACACCCCAAGAAGTGAACAAAGAAGTACCAGCTCCAGAACAGGTGCAATCTAAAGAGGAAAATACCGCACCAGTTCAAGAAACTGTCGCTCCATCTGGTGATGTCAAGATGGAACAAGAGCAGGCGAACAAAGATCCACAGATATCCCAACCAGAAACAGCAGTACCAGTTGTTGAAGCTCCTGCCGCTCAGAAGATAGAGGATACTGCTCCTATCGAACCTGAAGCAGCTCCAACTCCAGCTCCTGTAAAGGCAGAATCAGCTCCTGAGACAGCTCCTGTAAAGACTGAAGCAGTTGTCGAAACTGCACCAGAGGCTGCTCCTGTTGCTTCTAACACGCCTGCTCCAGTACCAGCACCTGCTCCAACTCCAACCCCTATTGCTGCTAACTCTACCCAAGCACCAGTTGCCACCCAGCAAGCTCCGACCGCTACTCAGCCAGCTCCAGCCCCAGCCAATCCATCACCAGCTCCTCCTGCACAAGCCCCAGCCCAGTCACCCCAGCCAGTCCAAGTAACTCCAGACACCTCATCTGCAACCACAGGAGTGAGAGAAGAGTCAAAAACCATCAGTCAACAGGTAAGCTCTAGTGTGGGTTTATATCAGGAACCTTCAGCCAAGATAAATAATACGGAAATTAGTAGTCAAGTTATCACTCCTAGTCTTCAGAATAGTAGTGTCGATATCCAAAACTCTAGCTTAAATGATTCTCAAGCACCTAGTGCCACAAATGCTCAGTTAGATGAGTCTTCGAAGACCCAAAATAATGGACCAGTTAGCCACCCTAGTCAGTCAGATACCAGTAGTTCGAATTTAAAATTATTTGTTGGTGGTCTTTATTACCAAACTGAAGATGACGTTTACAACTTTTTCATGAAATACGGGGAAGTTATTGAATGACAACTCCTTAGACATAGACAAACTGGCCGTTCCAGAGGATTTGCCTTTGTCACTATGAAAGATCCTACCGGAGTCATCAGGAAGCAGCTAGTTGGCAAGCATAATGAGATCAACGGAAAATACGTTGATATAAAGGTTGCCGAAGATAATAAAACACGTGAGAAAGTGGAGAAATCTTCCTGCAAAGTCTTTGTTGGAGGTATTGAAGGGACTGTCTCCACAGAAGAGCTCAGAGACTTCTTCCTTATGTATGGCAAAGTCAAAGAAGCTGTCGTTTTGAAGAACATCAATACTAATACCTCTAGAGGGTTCGGTTTCGTAACTTTTGAAGACTCTACAGTTGCAGATAAGTTGATCAGAGAGAACAACTGTGTTCTCAAAGGAAAAAGGATGGATATCAAGACAGCTGAGCCTAAAGAGACCAGCGTCCCAAGGAGCAGAGACAATATGAGAGGTGGCTACAACAACTATGGTGGAAACAGAGGAGGCTATAATAATCAAGGAGGCAACTACGGAGGTGACGGTGGTATGGGAAGAGACTACAGAGGCGGAAGAGATGGAGGCCACGGTGGCCGCCATGGAGGTCACGGCGGCTACGGTGGTCGTGGTGGTCATGGTGGCGGTCATGTAGGCTACTCTCGCCACAATGACAGGAATTACAGTCCTCCTCAGTATGATAACTATCCTCAAGACAATAACCCAAGATATGGAGATTATATGAATAATGATCCAGCTCCTGTTGCTACAATGCCATCTTATGCCCCACCCCAGCCAAAGAATGACTACCAATCTCAGCCAAATTATGGATATGGAAATCAAAGTAAGTTCCATTCACTGAGCCTTGGGAAAATTCGCATTAAAACTGTATTTATATGTACTTTAGGAGATAGTCAAAAGAGCACATACTCAGACCCTTATTCAAGAGGAACAGGTAAAATTGTCTTTTCCAAGAAAACTTTCACTCAAGATGCTATAAATTCTTACAATCAACTTCTTTCAATAAAATGCTTACTTTTACATAGATACATACAGCCAGCCAAAGGGATCATACGGAAAGCAGAGTTATGGAACCCAGCAAAGTTATGGAGACCAAAGCCAGCCAACCTATGCTCCTCAGGCACAGCCCAGCTATGGAGCTCAGACTCAGGCTCAGGCTCAGCCATCATATGGATCTCACCAGCCAGCTTATTCATCAAGTCAGACAGGCTATGAGCAAGTAAGTGGGTATGGACAGACAACTAGTCAAGCCTATGGTAGCCATTATGGCAAGAGCCACACCGACCAGTACACTACAGGAGGTGGAAGTGGCGGAAATAGAAGAGACTATGGTGCTCAGAACAAGGGTCATAGATACAAGCCTTACTAAGCCTGGATAATTGATTCTATAGCATGTTCAACCACATCTCCCTTAACAGGGGTTTTGGGGTTTTGGGGTTTTGGGGTTTTGGGGTTTTGGGGTTTTGGGG